ATTTTAATGAGGGAAATAAGTATTTGACCCCCTCTCAATCAGAAAGATTTCTGGCTCCCAGGTGTCTTTTATACAGGTAACGAGCTGAGATTAGGAGCACACTCTTAAAGGGAGTGCTCCTAATCTCAGTTTGTTAGCTGTATAAAAGACACCTGTCCACAGAAGCAATCAATCAATCAGATTCCAAACTCTCCACCATGGCCAAGACCAAAGAGCTCTCCAAGGATGTCAGGGACAAGATTGTAGACCTACACAAGGCTGGAATGGGCTACAAGACCATCGCCAAGCAGCTTGGTGAGAAGGTGACAACAGTTGGTGCGATTATTCGCAAATGGAAGAAACACAAAATAACTGTCAATCTCCCTCGGCCTGGGGCTCCATGCAAGATCTCACCTCGTGGAGTTGCAATGATCATGAGAACGGTGAGGAATCAGCCCAGAACTACATGGGAGGATCTTGTCAATGATCTCAAGGCAGCTGGGACCATAGTCACCAAGAAAACAATTGGTAACACACTACGCCGTGAAGGACTGAAATCCTGCAGCGCCCGCAAGGTCCCCCTGCTCAAGAAAGCACCTATACACACATACTTTTTACATCAGCAGATGTCACAAAGTGCTATACAGAAACCCAGCCTAAAACCCCAAACAGCAAGCAATGCAGATGTAGAAGCACGGTGGCTAGGAAAAACTCCCTAGAAAGGCAGAAACCTATGAAGAAACCTAGAGAAGAACCAGGCTCTGAGGGGTGGCCAGTCCCCTTCTGGCTGTGCCGGGTGGAGATTATAACATTACATGGCCATTAAGGCCAGATTTTTCTCCAAGATGTTCAAACGTTCATAGATGACCAACAGGGTCAATAATATAATAATATAATAATATAATAATAATCACAGTTGTTGTAGAGGTTGCAACAGGTCAGTACATCAGGAGTAAATGTCACTTGGCTTTTCATAGCCGGGCATTCAGAGGTTGAAATAGCAGGTGCGGTAGAGAGAGATAGTTGAAAACAGCAGGTCTGGGACAAGGTAGCACGTCTGGTGAACAGGTCAGGGTTCCATAGCCGCAGGCAGAAGAGTTGAAACTGGAGCAGCAGCACGACCAGGTGGACTGGGCACAGCAAGGAGTCATCAGGCCAGGTAGTCCTGAGGCATGGTCCTAGGGCTCAGGTCCTTCGGGAGGGGAGGGAGAGAGGGAGAGAGAGAGAATTAGAGGGAGCATACTTAAATTCACACAGGACACCAGATAAGACAGGAGAATAACACCAGATATAACAGACTGACCCTAGCCCCCCGGCACATAGACTATTGCAGCATAGATACTGGAGGCTAAGACCCAGCACCAACAACCCAACCTTGCTGTTTTTACAGAAAACAACCCAACTATTTACCCCAGATCAAAGCCATGCATGCAAGAAGCTTTGACCTGTCTGGTGAACAGAGATTTCTCTGTCCTCAGTTTGATTGAAGGCCTCAATCTGTATTTTTGCTTTGTAACTGATTGCTTCTAGAACGAGAGAAGGAACAACATGATCATGATGAACTACTATTTTAAAGCAATTAAATAATTAATTGTTAAAAATAATGAATGTATGGGCTACATTTGAGAATATATGCATTTGCTTACCTTATCAATCTTGAAGACAATACACTCATTTATCACTCAAAAAAAGTGTTATGAGTGAATGCACCACAAACATATTTCCAGGGTGTTGATGCATCCTCCTCCCAGCCTTTTCCAACACCACGGGTAGGGGGAAGGGTATCCATTTGCAAAAGTGAAGTTTTGCTTTGATGTCAAATCAACTCATATTGTTGCTACCTTAGCTGTTGTGCTAGCTAACATGCTACTGAACCGTGACACTAGCATATTGACATGAATATTGGTATTAAGACAGCAATGTATTAACCTAAAAATGTAAGTGTTTAGGCAAATCATTAGTTAGCTAGCTACCTAGCTAAGCGCTAGCCAGTCAGTGGCGCTGACAGATTGAAACTGGTATCAGCAAAGGTTTGCCGCAACAAATTCATTTTTGTGTGGGGATCTATTTTCTTGTAACTGGATGTGATACCTAGCTTAGAAAGAATGCATTAATGATTAAACATAAAAGGTTTGTACTGTACTGATATCAATTGTTTAACCTAACAAGCTGTGATTAATGTGAGGAGCTGTTTTAGGGAGTAGGGGGAGATAAGAACTTGTGTCTCAAAATATTAGACTACACTGCCTCTTTGTTGTCTGTGAACCGTCCAAGGATGTAGGTACATAGAGTACAGGGGAACGGTGTCTATGGGTGCTGACTCGAGATGGGTATGATGATAACAACTTATGCCTGGCAACAGTGTGCAACGGTGGAGCGCCAAGGGGCTGGGACCAGCCTGTGCGCCAACGATTGGCTGAGTAAGTCTAAACCACGCTCAGTCTCTACTCTGATTGGCCAGCAGGGAGCGGGACTATCTCTGTCAGAGTATTTGAAGAAGAGCCTGTAACAATGGATCAGTTCTCTGTCTGCCCTGCGTGGTATTACAGTGAGCCCGTATACGAACTCTCATACTTACCATTTAAGCATTTGCATTAATAAATACTAGACTAACTTGGATACTGTGTAATGACCTCTTTTGTCACAAATACCAGATTTGAATTGACGCAACTTAACAATTGGTGACCCCGACGTGATCTGGTAAAGGGACTTCGCTGGATATCGTCCGGCCCATTGGACATCTCTGTCATTGGACGGTGTGTTTCACAAAGAGTCCGGACTACTAAAAACAGGTAAGCAGACACCTATTGTTATATAACTGAAGTTCTGCACATTGGCTTTATCCAAATTAATTTTGTGAAACACCTGTTTGATGTAAGCGAACTAAATTATGAATTATTATGAGTAAATAAGAAATTGTCGCTATTGTGATATGCAAATGTATGGTAAATGTGAGTGTTAAACACTGGTACCATAGAGTATTTGTGCTACCGGCAAGGTCCGTAACTGTGGAGTACGGCTAGGTTCGGAGACAATACTGACATCTATCGGCAAGGTCCGTAACTGCGAGAGTACGGCTAGGTTCGAAGATACAGGGAATAATTGACTTAAGTAATTGCTATCGGCAAGGTTCGTAACTACGTCAGTACGGCTAGGTTCGAAGAATTACACCGGCAAGGTCCGTAACTTCGAGGGTACGGCTGGGTTCGGGAAATTTTAGATAATACTGGCGACTGGCAAGGTCCGTAACTTATGGGTGCGGCTAGGTTCAGCTGAGTATTTTTATTTTATTTTTTTAGATAGGGAGAAAAATAGTAGGCGAGGTTGAATTTGATAATGTAAATGTAAAATAATGAATAACTAGTATGACTAAACTGAAACGTTTGAACTGATATAATTGAACTGTAACGTTTGATGTTTGACATAGCATAATACTGGTTTTAAATAATTATGTTGAAGCAATTTGGTTTATTATTTGATTTAACGTTTGATGTTTGACATAGCATAATACTGGTTTTAAATAATTATGTTGAAGCAATTTGGTTTATTATTTGATTTAACGTTTGAGGTTTGACATAGCATAATACTGGTTTTAAATAATTATGTTGAAGCAATTTGGTTTATTATTTGATTTAACGTTTGATGTTTGACATAGCATAATACTGGTTTTAAATAATTAAATTGAAGTAATATGGTTTATCGTTTGAGTTGACATAACAACCATTGGTTAAATAATTGAAACACTTTGGTTTATTCGTTCGATTTACCATTTGATGTGTGGCGTTTGATTTGACATAACAACCATTGGTTAAATAATTGAAACACTTTGGTTTATTCGTTCGATTTACCATTTGATGTGTGGCGCTTGATTTGACATAACAACCATTGGTTAAATAATTGAAACACTTTGGTTTATTCGTTCGATTTACCATTTGATGTGTGGCGTTTGATTTGACATAACAACCATTGGTTAAATAATTGAAACACTTTGGTTTATTCGTTTTGATTTACCATTTGATGTGTGGCACTGTAAGAATACTGGTTTCAAATAATTAAGGCTGAAATAATCTGGCACCGAGTTTAATAATTTGATTTAAATAAATAGATAGACGTACTTTAAATAACTAAATAACGGACAAATATTACAAATTAAAACGAAAAACATGACTACCAGTGGAGAAGCGGAAAGAATATTGAAGGCTCTAAAATCAACACTTGAAACAAACGGAGGAAAAGATGGAAAGGAATGGAGCAGGCGAGGAGAGAAACTCTATAAGGAATGGATAGACGATGGTTGTATACTGTCCCCCGATGGAGTGCCTGTAGGAGGCGAACCAGGGAGAATACTGGAGACGTTGAAGCGGAAAACCCAGAAAGCAGAAGGTGAATGGAAGAATGAAGGAGAGCCCCGCAGAGGCAAGATTAAAGACGCATTGGAGAAAGCAAAGCTAAAGGAGCGGATTGGCCTAGCAATGCTTGGAAAATTGAAGAAACTGTGGGAGGAGAAAACAGGACAGAAGGAAAGGACCCGTTTATACCCACCCCTACCAACAGCGCCACCACCATATGACGACCACCCAAAAACAATGGCTCCGGTTCTGGACATAGCGGGAAAAGTCCACTATCAACAAAGGACAGATGAGGAGGAAGAAGGAATGTGGGTCAGAAAGAGTGATATGACTGACAGAAGGGGAGAAGTGGATGTACTTCTAAAAGCTGCAAAAGCGCTAGAAAAAGGAGTGTTTGAGTAGAATCGAGGGAGAGACGGGGAGCAGATGCGGAACAGAAGGAGGAGGGAGTGTTGACGGAGACGGTGAGAGTGAGAAGGAAGAGAGAATGAGCCTAACTGGAGGAAACGTAAGGGGTGGTCTAGCCCAGGAGGAGTGGCAACGAAACAAGGATGCTGAAGAAGGGGAAAGGAGGGAGAGACTTGAGAGACAGAGAGATGAAGAACGACTGGAAAAGTTGAAGATGATAAAGAGGAAGTACGACACCAGGAAGCACAATTGCACAAGTTAAAGATGGAGCTCGAAGCGAACAAAAACAGAAGTGAAAGTGAACGCTCACCAGTAAGGGGACACTGTATTGACCTCAGAGACGGGGAAGAGAGTGAGGAGGAAAGAGTGAAACAACAAAAACTCATATGTAGAGCTTTTGATGGAGACATATGGGACAACATTGATGGACCCGCGTACCACACCCGAGCCAGGGCTCAGTCCAGAGAAGGACACAAAGGGGGGCAGTACCCGTTGAGGGAGACCCCAGGGGGGGCCTCAGTTTACAAGCCATGGGCCCACAGACACATACAGACCCTGGTGGACAGTCTCCCCCAACCTGAAGAATCTGGACACAGATGGGTGAAGGCTTTTGAGAGTCTCACCGCAGTGGATGAACTCACCATAGGTGATATGGTTACTGTAATGAACAGGTGTATGGGTGACCAGGAATGCAAAGAGATAATGACCTCTGGGGGACTGAGAGGACAAGTGGGGTCGGCTAAAAGATTTGACACCCACCGCAGTGACGTATGGGACGCCATAAGGAGGAAGTATCCTACCCAGGCCAGACCCGAACTGATGAGAACTCTGACATTGAATGACGATGAAACCATACCAGCATACATGAAGAGGGCTAAGTGCCTCTGGAGGCAAGCGTGGAATGAAGAACCAGGAAAAGACACCATTAAGCACCTCTTCCTGACAAACTGCCTGGGGGGGACTCCCGGATCAGGCTCAAGTTGAATGTGAAAAAGTTGTGGCAATCACCGCAAAATCGATTCCGGAATTTACCGAGATAGCACAACACCATGTGGAACGATGGAGAGAGGGTAAGCGAAAGGAAGAGGATGAACTCAAACAACTTCAGAAGAAGGTTCTGAAGAAGCAACTGACAGAGGACAAGCGAGGAAAACAAATGGTGGTAACCAGTACCCCAACATCTAATCCTACCAGGAAATGATACTACTGCTGCAGTTACTGCTGTAGTACAGGCAATGACGGGAATGATGGCACCTTCTGGTCCTCCTGGATATGGTGCACCCACATACCAGCAACCCTATGTACCGCCACGACAACAGGGATACACCCCTAGATATGCTGACCAATGGTGTTTTAACTGTGGGATGCATGGCCACCTGGCAAGACACTGTCATCTCCCAAGACAGGGACAACAAAGAGGGAGGGGTTACATGGGACAGCCCAGAAGACAAGCACCGAGATACCAGCAAGGACGGGGAAGCTGGCAAGGAGGAGGAATGCCAGTCCAGCAGCACCAACCACCACAACAGCAGAACCGAAAACAAGACCCAGCAGTGCCTAACGCTGCCCTCCTGCCCAGCATGTCATGGCTGGGTGACGAACACAATTACCAATGAAGCTGCCCAGAAACCCATAAGGATCCCACCACCAACATTTACACTTTCCCACCAGGTTCAGAGCCGGTAGTGACATGTTTGATTGGAGGAAGAAAACATAATATGCTGATTGATACAGGATGCACATGGTCTTCTGTACAAGCAACATATCAACTCACTACCAAAACACAAGCTTTCTCTGGGGTTTCTGGGGCTATTATGAGAAAGCCATACACAGTTCCATTGGAGGTTGTATGGGATGACCTACAGGTTACCCATCAGTTTCTATACAACCCGGAATGCTCGGTGGGGCTCATGGGGAGGGACCTGCTTTCCAAACTGGGATGTAGTATCTATTGTAACCAGGAGGGCCTACACGCATCCATCACGCCCATTGATGAACTCATGCCAGTAATCATGGAAAAACTCTCCGACCCCCCTCGCATGCTATATGTGGGAACACACCTAAACGAGGAAGATGAGGAGGAAGCATATGTTTACTGGCTGTAGCTCATGGATACTGACCCTGATGCTCCCCGAGTATGCAGAGAGTTCCAACTATGGAAGGCCTGGATACAGACCTTAAATGCATACTATCCACCTGAGGACCCTCCGCACATGACAATGAACTATACAAGGGACTTGGATGAAGCATATGATGAAGCCTGGGAGGAGGAAATGGACGATAGGCGCCCAATTGTGACCAGCAATCATATGTACATACTCAAAGAAGGGGTGGCTACCAGCTGCATGGTCATGGATGGAGACGTGGTGCTCACAGACAAATGGTTTGGTCTTCCTAGTGATTCTGTGCCGCATGTTACCCTTCTCGTGGGATTTGGATACGAGGCAAGATCTCTGGGACCTGCAGTAAAGGCAGCAAGTTGCCTACGGTGGAACAAAACCTCAAGTATGGAGAATTAAACTCAATGTGGATGATGTGTCAAAACCAGAGGTTGTGAGGAGATCACGTTACCATGGCAGGGAGATGACTGATCATCCGGATACTCCTAACATTTTCAATCAACTACCAGAGGAACTGTGGACAACAAGTGCTGAAGATGTGGGGCTGGTTGATGTAGAACCAGTGGTTGTCTCCATTCGAAAGGAAAGTGAACTCACTGTCCAAGTTCACAAATCTCAATACCCTCTCAGTGAAGAGAAGATGAAGAGGATTTTTCTGCATCCCATTACATCCAGAGTCCCAGCCACTTTTTGCATTTACCTACAGAGGGCAGCAATTTACGTATTCTTCCACAAGGCTACCGTGATTCCCCGGGAATCTCCAACGCTATCCTGAAGAGCCACTTGGAAGAACTAACATTACCTGAGGGGGTGACGCTACTCCAATACGTTGATGATCTTCTGTTGGCAGCACCCACTGCCGAGTCTTGTTTGCAGGCCACCAAGTCCCTTCTCCTGTTGGTAGCCAAAAAGGGATACAAGGTAAAGAAAGAGAAAGTGCAGTGCTGTCGGAGAAGTGTCCAGTTCCTGGGAAGAGTGCTGTCCGGGAAGGGACAAGCTGTGTCTGTGGCCCAGAGGACCTCCATCTTGGAACATCCCAAACCCACTACTGTACAACACCTTTTGTCATTTCTTGGCCTTACTGGATACAGCAGAACACACGTGCCAGAATACTGTCTTAAAGTGGAACCACTGCGGGCAATCTTGAGAGAAGCAGGAAACAGAAACCTCACAGCAGTCCTTAAGTGGACTCCAGAGGCAGAGGCAGCTTTCATCCAACTCAAACAGACGCTAGCACAGGCTGAAGCACTGTCCTTACCCGATTACACCACGCCATTCTGTTTGGATGTTTCTGAGCAGGACGGTTATGTACATTCCATCCTGTATCAGAAACAAAAGGGGGAGAGAAGAGTGTTACACTACTACAGCGCGAAACTGGATAACATTGAAACAGGACAAACTGACTGTGCCAGACACATGGCTGCCATTGCAAAAGCTATAGGTAAAACAGTAAAACAGCCCACATTGTGATGAGACATCCACTTGAAATCAATACAGATCATGGGGTGACCGCTTTTATAGGCTCCAAACTTTTCACACTGTCCAGTAAAAGAAAATCCAGCATAACAAAGGCCATCACTGCAAAGCACATTACATATGTGACAACAGCAACCAATATGACCGATGGTATGGGTCTTGGAGAACAACATGTCTGTGAGGATAGAGCAGCCAAACAGATCAAAGTCCGAATGGACCTGCAAAACTCACCCTTGGAGGGGAACAAAATCACCCTGTTCACTGATGGATGCTGCTACAGGTCAAAGGACCCAAAGGAAGGAAACACTGCTGCCTATGCAGTGGTGAAACAAGACACAGAAGGAGGACATGAAGTAATGGAAGCAGAGAAACTTGGTCCCAATGAAGCTTCAGCACAGCTAGCTGAACTCAGAGCGCTGAGGAGAGCCCTTCAGCTCAGCAAGGGAAAGAACGTGGACATTTACACAGATTCTACCTATGCACATGGGATTGCACACATTGATGGACCACAGTGGATGAGGAGAGGGTTTGTGACCAGCTCAAATGAACCCATCAAACATAAGGTTGAAGTACAGAAGCTAATTGAAGCAATCCAGTTTCCAAAGCGAGTGTCAATAATGAAGTGCAAGGGACACGGCAGAGAAAGTACAAGAGTACGTGAAGGAAATGATCGAGCTGATCAAGCAGCAAAGGATGCAGGAGGATATACTGCTCTGCAGATGGTACAACGAGCAACTCAAGGCCAAGAGGAACTGACGGCAGACACAGTAAGACAGTTGCAAGAAGCAGCAGATGTCTACGAACAAAACGTATGGAGCAGACAAGGAGCGAGACGAGACCACCAAGGAATCTGGAGATCTCACACAGGAAAAACAGTGGGACCTGCAAAACTTCTCAGGTCAATCATAAGGGAAGAGCACGAAAAGGCCCATGGAGGATGGAAATTTTTTAACAAAATCAGTGGTAAAAGCATGGTGGCATCCACACATGTTGGACATGGCAAGAGAGACATCAGAAAGCTGTGAAGTATGCAAACAGTATAACAACAAAGTGTCACTCGGAGCAGTGATAGGCAGCTTCCCAATACCTGACGCGCCATTTCAAGACATTTGCATAGATTTCACGGACATGGGACAGGACAACAGAGTGGAAGGAAAAAGATACCTGTTGGTAATGGTTGACAGATTCACCAGATGGGTGGAAGCCATCCCCACAGCAAGGCTGTGATTAAATGGCTGAGGAGGGACCTCATCCCAAGGTTCGGGGTCCCGCGAATGGTCCGTTCCGACAACGGTACCCATTTCAAGAATGAACACCTGAGGGAGGTAGAGCAGGCCCTAGGAATCACCCACAAGTTCGGGTCAGTGTACCACCCCCAATCGCAGGGACTCGTAGAAAGAGCTAACCAATCGCTGAAACGAAAAATGGCCAAAATCATGGCCGGAACTAAACTGAAGTGGGTAGATGCGCTGCCCCTAGCTCTAATGTCAATGAGAAACTCACCTGGGTCTGACACCCATTTAACGCCCCATGAACTCATGACAGGGCGTAGAATGCCAGGACCACCAGCAGACAATCTTAGCATGCCTAGACTAGACATTGCAAAAATCAGATACACAGACTACATGCAGGCGTTAACCTCTTTTGTTGAAAGATTGTCTAAACAGGTGGTGGAGGTTCGCACTCCTGCTGTTGAAACTACAGACGAGAACAGAGACATCTTGGTGGGAGACTGGGTGAGAGTGAAGGTGCATTCCAGGAAGTGGACGGAGCCAAGGTGGGAAGGACCCTTCCAGGTGAAAGAGGTATCAAGCCACTCATTGAGGGTGAACACGAGCAAGAAGGACGTGTGGTACCACAGGACACACTGTGCCAAAGATATAGTTCCAGGGAGGACTCTAGATCAGGTACAACAGGACTTGGCAACAGAAGGAGAATGATGATGATGTTATGGTTAGGAGTGGGGCTGGCCTTATGGGGAACAGTGTTCTCAGCTCCCAATCAGTATCATAACATAGTCATTACCTTACAGGAAGGGGAGTCCCAAGTGGTGACCCTAGAACCATGTAAGATCTGGTCATGGAGGAATAGGGCTAGTGGAATTGGGGAAACTAATTGCGAATGGAACCCGAAGGGAAACTGTAATGAAATGAACCCCTATGTGTTAAAACGAGATACTTATCTGTGTGAGGGAAAGTGGTGTCCATATTGGGACTATATGATCACAAATGTTGGCACCTTCTGGGAATGGCGTAGAAGCTATACATATGCATTAACAGATGCTTCTAAAGCAGCCAGGTTTTCAATGATAAGGGGTGTGCAGGGGTCAGCAGGGGGTGCATGTAAAGGTGATGAAATCCTACTAACCATTCAGGACATTAAACCTACAGATGCAGGTGTGTATACCTTAGCAGCAATACGAACCGGACCAGATACCATGGGTATGTTTACCATTGCAGTCAAACCCAAACCTCCAACTGGGCAGAGACAGACCCAGTTAAACCACACTACCACTCCAGGACCAGCTCAGCCCCAACCCACGAAGGTACCAAACCCCGTTCAGGTAGCTAATGTTAGGGATTTTACGGACAGTGACCAATTGGGTACAGAAACTGGGTATGAAGGGAGGGAAAATATGTGGTTAGCATACATGAGGTATACGGCTAGAACACTGGGCAGGCAAAATTGTGTTATCTGTGGGCATGCTAGACCCGGACTGGCAACCCACCCATTTGCTTTAGGAGAAGGGGAGGGATGGCAGTGCATACTGGAAGAGTTCTATCACTCGCTGCCAAACACCACCCTGTGTAAAGCTCTAAGTTAGATTTTTCCTGAGGTTCCACCACAGAAGGCACCAGGAGGAGTTAAGGCTTATGGGGGTAATAACAGCTGTATCACTGGGACAGGTAAAGGTGTTAACTATGGTAGATTGCCATCTGGGGACTGTGCTGTAAATGTAACCATGAACAGCACTTGGCCTGTAAAAGATAGGAATCAGACGAAGGGGGTTGCTGATGTGTGGTGGATTTGTGGCCCGGATAGAAGGCTGATCCCGATTCTAAAGGGGGACTGGCAGGGTACGTGTGCTTTAGCTAGTCTAATTGTTCCACTGACCATTATTGATGTTTCCTCAGACCAACTTTTGGGAATCGCCCAATTAACTCCGGAGAATGAGGGTGTAAGGCAGAGGAGGAAGCGTAGTGCCCCATGGTCAGTTGGGGTTGGGGGTGCCTGTGGGGGTACCATCAGAGTTCCAGGCTCTTAACAGGAACGATGGGTTATGGCACCTGGTGCCGATCATAGGTCCAGCAATAGACGCTGCTAAACAGCGATCTTGGATAAATTATATCTATTATAATCAACAGAGATTTGTTAACTACACACGTACTGCCCTGACTGGAATGTCTGAGCAACTAGAGGCCAGCTCTAGAGTGGCTAGGCAGAATAGACTGGCACTAGATATGATGCTTGCTTACCAGGGAGGTGTATGTAAAATGTTTGGGGAACAATGCTGTACGTTTATTCCTAACAATACTAGCCCTCACGGGAGCATCACTAAAGCCCTTGTTAGCCTGAATAAGTTATCTGCAGAGATGAAGAGCATGGGTGGAGTGGAGAGTGGTGGGCTGTTCTCCTGGTTGAACCACTGGTTTGGTAAGTACTCAACTATGGTGGCTACTGGATTTCTGACCCTAATTGTTGTGTTCTTGCTTTTGATGTGTTGTGCCGCTTGTATTATCCCCTGGCTCAGAAAGTCTGTTACAGATGTTGTGCATACGGCTGGTATGATGCCCCCCCTAGTGGCTCAAGAAGGAGATGCAGACACTGAGATGAAGTTGACTGAGGATGACCCTTGGTTTGCTATTGGTGAGGATGACCCTTGGTTTGCTAGAGGGTGTCAATAGGGGGCTAAAAATTTACTTCCCTGTTTTTGTTTTATGTTTAATTAATTTTGTGTTTTGTGTTCTATTAATCCTGTGTTTTATGCTTTATTAATCAAGTTAACCATTGTGAATGTTTGTCTTTCCTTATGTGAAGGTTTGACGTTCCTGGGTGGCTGGTAGCCAACCTAGTACAAGTGGGTGTAGATGGAAGGACTGAGGGTTTTTATTTTTTATTATCATTATTGCCTATTAATAAAAGTGTGATTCTTTTTGTTTGTATTGTATTTTAATGAGGGGGAATCGTAGGAACATTTTTGCTTTACTGAGTGCTTTATCTGGAAAACTTCACTGCTGACTGCTGAGATTGTATAAATAACAGTGGACTAAATGGACAATATACTAAAAGATAGTTCTTGAGGGTAGTATTCTTTTAAAACTTTTTTAATCTACCTAGATACTTATAGGATACCCTTTCAATCAGTTGACCATTTACAGATACTATCGGCAAGTGACTCCATTTGTCTGCTTTAAGCCACATGCACTGTCTTTCTGGCAGCTGGGAAAGTCATTTCTGAATGTCAAATGCTAGTTTTAAATCCTGAAATGCCTTCTCAATTTTAGAGGCACAAGAATAAACATTGTGTCGTCAGCATACAGGTGGAGATTTACAGATCATGCTAGTTATAGTATTTGCATAAAGTTCAGCTTTCCCCAATTTACATCCCGCGCTGTTCATGCTCCCACGCTTTTTCTTCCATTGAAAATGAATGGCTTCCGTTGTTTCATCTCCCGACATCGTCCCTAGAGGATCTTGGCTGTTTCTGACTTTATGCAAATACTCTGCAATATCGCGGTGCGATTGACCAATCGAAGCTCACTATAGCTTCCAGCCCCTACTGGATTGGCTGTTGTTACATAACACTACCTACAGTGGGGAAAAAAAGTATTTAGTCAGCCACCAATTGTGCAAGTTCTCCCACTTAAAAAGATGAGAGAGGCCTGTAATTTTCATCATAGGTACACGTCAACTATGACAGACAAAATGAGAAAAAAAAATCCAGAAAATCACATTGTAGGATTTTTAATGAATTTATTGGCAAATGATGGTGGAAAAAAAGTATTTGGTCAATAACAAAAGTTTCTCAATACTTTGTTATATACCCTTTGTTGGCAATGACACAGGTCAAACGTTTTCTGTAAGTCTTCACAAGGTTTTCACACACTGTTGCTTGTATTTTGGCCCATTCCTCCATGCAGATCTCCTCTAGAGCAGTGATGTTTTGGGGCTGTCGCTGGGCAACACAGACTTTCAACTCCCTCCAAAGATTTTCTATGGGGTTGAGATCTGGAGACTGGCTAGGCCACTCCAGGACCTTGAAATGCTTCTTACGAAGCCACTCCTTCGTTGCCCGGGCGGTGTGTTTGGGATCATTGTCATGCTGAAAGACCCAGCCACGTTTCATCTTCAATGCCCTTGCTGATGGAAAGAGGTTTTCACTCAAAATCTCACGATACATGGCCCCATTCATTCTTTCCTTTACACGGATCAGTCGTCCTGGTCCCTTTGCAGAAAAACAGCCCAAAAGCATGATGTTTCCACCCCCATGCTTCACAGTAGGTATGGTGTTCTTTGGATGCAACTCAGCATTCTTTGTCCTCCAAACACGACGAGTTGAGTTTTTACCAAAAAGTTATATTTTGGTTTCATCTGACCATATGACATTCTCCCAATCCTCTTCTGGATCATCCAAATGCACTTCAGACGGGCCTGGACATGTACTGGCTTAAGCAGGGGGACACGTCTCGCACTGCAGGATTTGAGTCCCTGGCGGCGTAGTGTGTTAATGATGGTAGGCTTTGTTACTTTGGTCCCAGCTCTCTGCAGGTCATTCACTAGGTCCCCCCGTGTGGTTCTGGGATTTTTGCTCACCGTTCTTGTGATCATTTTGACCCCACGGGGTGAGATCTTGCGTGGAGCCCCAGATTGAGGGAGATTATCAGTGGTCTTGTATGTCTTCCATTTCCTAATAATTGCTCCCACAGTTGATTTCTTCAAACCAAGCTGCTTACCTATTGCAGATTCAGTCTTCCCAGCCTGGTGCAAGTCTACAATTTTGTTTCTGGTGTCCTTTGACAGCTCTTTGGTCTTGGCCATTGTGGAGTTTGGAGTGTGACTGTTTGAGGTTGTGGACAGGTGTCTTTTATACTGATAACAAGTTCAAACAGGTGCCATTAATACAGGTAACGAGTGGAGGACAGAGGAGCCTCTTAAAGAAGAAGTTACAGGTCTGTGAGAGCCAGAAATCTTGCTTGTTTGTAGGTGACCAAATACTTATTTTCCACCATAATTTGCAAATAAATTCATTAAAAATCCTACAATGGGATTTTCTGGATTTTTTTTTCTCAATTTGTCTGTCATAGTTGACGTGTACCTATGATGAAAATTACAGGCCTCTCTCATCTTTTTAAGTGGGAGAACTTGCACAATTGGTGGCTGACTAAATACTTTTTTTCCCCACTGTAGCATGCTGTCAGCTTGCTAGCAACCACATGACGAGCCACTCTGGACAAAGCTTGCGTGGCTAGGCGAAGCTTCACTAGTTAGTGGATCTCGTCCGTTACATATGAGCACGATGCACTATGATGCACTCACAGAGTATCAGCACATGTGCATGGGTGCACTTCAATAGCTACAACGTGATAGCTGCAGGACCTGAAACAGCAGAAAAGTTTAGTCTTGCACTTCAATGCTCTTGTTGTTGTGGAAATCAACCCAATATTGCTGTTTTCTTTGTACATCTCTATCTTGAAAGCAATTTTTTTGTAATCTATGCAAAAGCAGGGATTGGTCAACAGTGTCGAAAGCTTTCAATTAATTAGTCAACAAAAAG